TTGTGTAGACATTTTAAGAGATAAAAGACGTAACAAAAAGAAAAGGCGGTGGATAAAAGACGACGGGAGCAGCCACTCTATTTGCTGCACTATGATTTGGAAGCGACTATGTTTTGTCATAGTTAACATTTTTAACTGAATAAACATAAACATATATAATAATGACCTTTACATATAATAATAAACATTTCCACATATCATCTCCAATAACACCGGACTCTCAGTTGCGCGATATGTCAGCTGTTTGGGATTCCCCTCTGTTCCTACGTCACCGCGCTTTCTGATTGGCTACCTGTCACATTCAACAGGTTGTATTCTCGCTCCCAGTCAGGAAAAACCTCACAGGCTGCGATAAAAGGGCCAAGACAACCCCCCCCCAAATTGGGTATATTCAGGGTTTAGCGGGAACATGAAGATTATCTGACGGTTCTCTCATATAGGGTTGAGCACCATTGCAATTGAACGATTCCAGTTCCTAACAATTCTCAATTCCAACTCTATTTAAAGATCCCTTTAAGTAGAGTTTTCAGTGTCCAAAAAAAGTTAACAATGAGCCAAAGTTAACCAGTTGCTTCTGAACAAAATATTCTCAATTTTAATTGTATGATCTTTTTACCTTTCATGAACTTAATTATTAATTTTCTCCACAGGGCTACTTCTAACTAATATATAGATATCTTATATGTGTAATGTTTCTGGCCCGTCTGCCTGCCATGTTCTCCTCCTTTGCACTCTCCTCTCATCAAGCTCATCTGGTTCACCTGCATGCTGCTGCGCTGGAGCGCAATCAGGCTCATGTCTCCCACCTGGTCACCAGCAGTTATATTCGCTCTCAGGAGGGCAGACGGTGCCAGATTTTTGAAAGCCACCGTGTGAGTAAATATCCAGCATTCCTTCCTGACCTGACCACGATCTGAACACTTTTCTGCCCCTCGGATTTCCCTGCCTTGCCTAGCCCTCATTGGATTCTCCTCTGGCCTCTGTTTCCTGGACCTGACCCTGCTTCTGCCTTCCGACTACTGCCTCTTGCCTCGCCCTTGGATTTAGTCTGCCTGTGATCGTTTGGAACCTTTTTCTGTGCCCTGACCATCGTTCTCTGCCCGACCCTCTGAAAGGAACTCTATTGGTTGCCTGTCCTTTATCCCATCCCTAATTAAAGTACTTAACTTTTATTCTGTGTCTGACTGAAATTTCGGGTCCTCAAGTTCTGATCGTTACAATATGTACTTGAATTGTTATGATTTTTTTTTTTTTTTTTTTACACGGTTACACTTTCACAGGAGAGCTTTTTTTTTTTTTAAAGTTGATGAAACCACATTTACCAAATATTTACCAATTATTTTCTGCCTTTTAAGGTTTCTTTAAATGGTGATGGAAAAATATAAGGCCATCTGTCATTTTGATATCACACACACCAGACCACTTGGTCCAGACACGCAGATTTATGCACATTAAATGAATCGGTAGAAGAAAAATTCTTTATCAGAGCATTACCTGTGAGATGGACACAGAGCTCATTTCATCTCACTATCTGGGTTGCACTCAGCTCAGTTGTCCATTCATTTATTAAAGTGAATATACACTCAGTTGCTGCTGCACACTGTCCATGGCTGCGCACACACTACAGCTGCTTTTTCTTTATTGAAATTTGGCAGCTTCTTCAGTTGCTGGACTGGGAATTGAAACTTGGAATCAAAATGTACAAACTTAAATCATTCTGGGAGAACTGAAATGTTAGCCCTGTGCTTGAGTTTGACAAATGATTCTTGAGACTTGATGCCCTACCCTTGTGTATATGCTAAAATGTTCTCTGCTTTTTCTCCCTTAAGGTCAGGACATGACTGAGGCTGTAAACATCTGCAGTTCAAATTTTAAAGTAAGAATCTGAACAAAGCCTCAAGAGGACATTGTGGCATTTTAAGTAGGCTCTAAACACAGACAGTTACATTATATTTGATTATCCGATTAACCTTTCTCTATTATTTCTGACCAAATCAATCAGGTGGTTCAACAACTTTGCATTTCTGGCAAATAATTTCACGGACCTGATGTATAACTGGTTCGAATTGTTGCTGTTCTTGTTTTTTGCCTATCGCCTTTGCCTTGATGTTAACACTGTAGATATTTACTTTATTCATTAGACTTGTCAGTTTGGGCCCAGTAATCTCTGTAAGAGACAGTACTTCATAGAATTATCTGCCCTATGACACACACACATCTTGTGATGAGTGTATCAAGATGTGTTTCAAGTGTGAAACTTTATTTAGAGCTTCAAAAAAATGGTTATCAAATTACTAAACATGTTGCAGAATAATAAAGGTTTGTTACAGAAAGACTGTGAAGTTATGTCGTCTGAAGAGATGATCATGATGAAGCAGGCTTTCATAGCTGTAGGCTTTCACAGCTGTATGTGTTATTACAGATGTGAGTGTTACAGCTGTAATAAAATCAGGGGTAGAGGATCGGAGTTTACAGTAAATTCAAATGAAATCATTTCCTTTTCCCTCTTTGTATCTCTCTTTGTTTAAAGTACATGTACTGGACAATGAAGCAACAGCTCACCCATCACACAAGTAATGGCTGCAACGTCAGACCAGGAGACTTACTGGCTTCCGGTACCATCAGTGGGCCCGTAAGTGTCAGCAACCTTACTGCCTTGTTAATTAAATGGTTTTGCACACACATGCACACACGCAGTATATCTGTCAGTCTTTGCATTGTCTTCCATTAATTTTTCCATTCATTTCTATAGCCTTACCCTGACCTTTCTCTAATTCTAGCCATTACCTAATCAAGGCTCAATTTATACCTTAGTCTTAAACCTAAGCTCTGAAAGGTCATACTTCATACTTCATCCATAGTGCCAAAGTTTAATCTCATTGAGATAGATCCGTGACAAAAATTGTAAGTTTGTTGCCGTGCTTTTGCATTAACTAATCTGCTAACACTATCTGGTTTTGGTATTTGCAGGAGACAGTTACTTTTGAGCAGAGGTCGCACTAGACTTTTTTGTTCATCATTTTGACCGACACGATAAAAAAAAAACAAATAAAAATAAAATATCGGTCGTACTATTTTTACCCGTCAAATTATAATCACATTGACATAGGCTATTTAACCGCATTTTTATGTGGTTTAGTTAACCGTTGAACCATGAATCCAGATCCCATCACACATAAAGCAGATGAACGGATCTAACTTTTTCTCCGTAGTGACAAAAACCACTGAGTATGGCCCCAATAACTTATAATAAATTTAATTAAACGACTCCACTTAAATTACATCACTTCACCTGCTGGGGTCTTATCTCACAGCCTCAAAAAATTCCTCCTGGTTCGCATCTGCAGAGAAATTTGCACTAGTTCATCGGTCAGCTGGATCTGTTTGATCCAAACCGATCAGTTTAACTTTTTTTTGTACCCTGTGCTTTTACGATGATTTTTTCTTTTTTGCATGGTTTCACTTCCCCAAAATGGACAGATGTTACATCTGCCGTGCTTCTGAGCGCCGCTCTCCTTCTGGGCGCAGGACGGAAACGTCTTCAGCTTCATTTGTTAAAACCGCAGGATGAGTTAAGTTTAATTCTTTGCAGCGGTGGAGCCGCGTCCACATTGGTTGTGCAGCAGACTGCTCATGTTATGGTCCAATTAATTTCTGCACTTTTATTCATTTCCTCAACCTAATCTGCCAGCTCCTCAGTTTAGACTATAAATGGATTAACACAACATTGCATTCTCTTTAGTTTTCTCTGTTTTGTATGTAATGGAGACTGAAATTAAACCCGGCATTTCTACCAAAGGTTTGTAATGCACTTCTGAACCAGACGCGCTCCAAGGCGTCCGGTCAATAACTCAACACGCTGTCAGCTCCTGGTCAGAAAGACCCATTAAGTTCAGTGTCCACGAGATGATGTTCACAAAGGATTTTTGATTAATTGACAAAATCTGCAATGAACTCTTTGCGTAAAGTCTGTAATGTCTGCCCATGTGCACTAGTCAAGGGTGTTAATTATAACCTGTCAAATGACCGACGGGCTTTAAATTTTCCCCATCGTTTAAAAAAATAACCGGTCAAATACGGAAAATATTCCGTTCACGCGACCTCTGCTTTTGAGAAACATTTATATGACGCAATAAAGAATTATGTACATTTATACAATTCTTTACTGAATAACTTCTATAAAAATAAGACGGATGAAAGTTAACTTCTTGATGAAAATTGTAATGTCGTTGCTCAAAGAAGAGGCTGTCTGTGTGTGACCAGCAGATGGAGATATTTTTAAAAGTTACAAGATGCACCCAACACAGACTGAGCAGTGTACAATATTTTATTAAACAATTTCCTTAAAACATTTCTTTTTGTAAAAACGAGGCTTCAGGCCTACTACTCGGTCCCTGGAACAAATAAAGGATGGACAAGTTCAATTATTCCAAAAGAAATAAAACATGCAATGCAAAAGAAATTAGTAAATCAAACAAACAAAAAGAAAACAAATTAGTAACTTCAATAACACACAACATATACAAACTGTAAAAGGAAACACTTCAAAGAATGGAACACATCATTGTCATCATCCAGATCCAAATGCCCTTTGATGGGGCCAGAGGAGCAATGCCCCGCCCACACAGCCTGCCCAACCAGCAACAGGTTTAGTTGAGAGCGGCTCAAACAAACAATGGCAAGACAAGACAGCAGAGCATCCAAAGCGCTGCAGCTCCAAACACAATCAGGTGCCCAGGGGTGGAAACAGAGCCTAACCCTGGAGAAAGCAGGTCAGCAGGTGAGGACCAGATGGAAGCCACACGCCACAACGTATATCTACTGGCTGTAACAGCCATAATTGTGTGGTTTCTCATTAACACAGCCTAGGTTATTGCTAGTGATGTCACAGGTATGCACCACTACTCCCCCTGTTGAGAGCATAGAAGAAACGTCTTTCAGATGGACGGTTGTTTCAGACACGTGTTTCCATCTGAAACAGTTACTGTGTTTCAGATGGAAACACG